CTCTGAGCCTTGGCTTGCTGGGCTTTTGCCTTGATGTCTGCCAGAGTTCTGGCTCCTGTTCTTCCCGGACTGGTGAGTGAGAAGGGGAAACGTGCCCTGGGAGAGACCTGGCCCGCAGGAAATGGCATTGGGGAGATTCTGGAAAAGGGAATCTGAAACAGAGTGGGAGAAAAGCACAGCTGAGATACAGGGAACATTTAACCCGCTGTTTAAGAATTTAAGTGCTTACGTTTGTAGTCTTAGAGAAATAGCTTTAGTTTTGGAGAAATCCCTTTGGAGAAATCCCTTATGGAGGTCACGATAAATAATAGGAAGACGTGAATGATCTGCTGTCTAGCACACCTATTTTAGCTTCACACTTAACTTTACTGATACATTATTTATATCCTGTTAGAGGTTTTTTGTGTCAGCATTCCCCTTCATTTTGAATCGCTCTCCTACCCCTGTGCATTCACACTTGTCTCCTCGGTGTCTTTATGCAAGGTAATAGCAACCTCTCTGCCATGTATCCGTCAATAAAATGCCAACATTTTAGTCCTTTCTTCTAAAATGCGTGCTCTGCTCCCCTCATCAGTCCAGTTCCTGTAAGTTTGCTCTTTCTAGAGTAAGTGATGAGAACAGCACACTGATGTTAATGCTCTTCTGTCTCTGTTGCAGCGATTTAAGCGAGTACATTTTAAGGTCACATTTGTTTTCATGGATCTGCAACACCTCACTGCCTCCCGCTCATCTTCCTGTTAACTATAGAAGAGTTTGAGTTGGAAGGGACCATGGAGGTCACTGGTCCAACCAGCTCACCACTTCCTTCTTTTTTGAGGAATGACATCTGCCTTACAGGGGAAACTATTATCAATCACTCTTAAATTCACTCTATCACTGAATTAAACCCCATTTTTATGACACTGGCAGGTCACCCACTCTGCCTGTATGACATTCCAAATCTCTTCTATTGACAGAATGGAGACATTCCCTGAAAGGGTCTTTCCCTGCTGCCTGTTCTGACACCACACAGCACCGCTGCAGTATTTCTAGCTGCTCTTTTTTTTAAACACAGGTAAATAACGGAGTTGCTGCATTTGGCAGAGGAAGCTGCTGACAGCTTGCTTTCTGGAGCAGTTCCTGTGCTGCCGGGGACACACACACACCTGCAAAGCTCTGTGCGCTCCTGGGCTGCAACCTGCTTTGTCTGCAGTTTGTCCGCAGCTCTCCCCAGTTTCCAATGAGAACTACAGTTCTCCCTGCTACGCTCACTCTGGGGCTTTTGCACAATTGTTCAAGCGTCTGCCCAAGAGATCTTTTAACAGAAGCATGTCTACGAGAGACACTTCACTGACCTTGATTAGCCAGCCAGCAGATTCCCTGAGCAAACAGCCAAGCCTTTACATTTTTGGATCAAATATTTCCATTGCTATAACAAGCAGGTAACATAATTTACATGCATAACCAGAACGGAACTGACAAAGCATCTCTGTGAGAGCCCCCAGCTGCCCTGACCCGCGCGGGGCCGCGCTGTGGATCTCTCGTCATTTCTCTTTACCTTGAGTGGGGGTACCCGTGGCACCGGGGTCCCCGCCGCGGGAAAGGACTGTGGCTGGGTGCGAAACGCCTGGTGGTGCTGACAGGGCTCCATGATGCGTGGCTTCTTTTCAGGAGTGGTTACAGCTTCTTCGCGACTCTCTGACTTCCTCTTAGGGGCTTCAACACTGATTTCCATTTCTTCATTTGCAGGGGACTTCTTTTCTAGAGTAATCACAGGATTTTTCACGTTTGCTACTACTTCACTTGCTTCGGGGCTCTTTGGTTTACTCGGGGCCAGACCCGAGGTACTGACAGTCTCTTTCATTAGCGCTTCCTTCGACGCAGCGTGCTTTCGCTCCTCTTCGGGCTTTTGACTAACAGCAGTGGGTGGTTTCTCCTGGATGGGTTCTCCTTGGACTCTCTCTTTTACAGGGAGAGAACGGTCGCTGGGTTTCACTGCGCACCCAGCTGGGGAAACCAATGCCTCTGCGGGTTTGGCTGGTTTGGGCTGCGTGTCCTCTCTTCTCTCCTCTCCTCCTCTCTTCATTGCTGGTGCTTCCTGGGCTGCTTGTGCTTTAGACTCTGACAGAGCAGTGAGCTCCTCTTTGAGCGGTGCCAGAGAGGCTGGCGTGCACTGTGGCTGTTCAGCTGCTCGATTTTCAGTCTCTGGCTCAGCAGGGCTGGTGTTTGCTGTCAGTCTCTTGGACTCTTCAGGACTTAGTCCAGAACTATCAAGAAAAACAGAATTTTTATTTTGTAAAACATTCTTGCAAAAAGCGTACTGTCCTTACGAAAGCCGAGAGAGGATGCTCTGTGTACCACACCCTAAATAAATGTTTTACACACCTAATTCTGTGCCACGATCTTTGAAAACCTTCTGTGCTGTCAGTACTTCCACGTGAAACAGAACTTAATAGCAAAGTTTAAAACCAACTGAACTAAATACATGGAACACGGGTTAGGTCTAGTCCTCTCTCCAGATACCCATTTTCCAGGCTACAGATCAAATTAATTTGGCCAACAGTAAATATTCCCTTCTTTAGCCACCACAGACACCACCTCTGCAGCTTGCGAACAGCCCCACGCAGCTTGTGTCTGAAGAAGCTCATATGGTGACATTTGCAGAAAGGGACACTGCAAAGTGTCCCACCAGTCCTTCCAGAGGAACGCAGCTAGTGCCAGAACCACTGACGTACCCTTCGCTTAGCACCAGCATCGCTGCCCTTCTCCATCATCTCAGAGCTGGGAATATTTCCCTGCATTACTCATCCCTCTTTGTTTGTGAAAGAAATAAACAAGCCGGGAATCTAATTCCCAGAGTGACGCCTGGTTTAGGATTAACTTCACCCATCCCTCCTAACGGAATATCAAATCTGTTTTTTTGCCCAAACATGAACCCATCGAGTGTGATGAAGCCAGGCTGATGAACGCTGCTACGGACTGATTTCTACCAGACAAGCTCTTGGGAGCCAGAGAGATTCCAAGTCCTGCTGGTGTGCGTGTCACCTCCATGCTGTCCTGCTGTCCCCCTAAAGCTTCAAGAATACGGCTGTCACATTCCAGCACAGAGCTCCAGGTGTGATTACGTGCTGGTTTTCAACGCTGGGAGAACTGGGTAAGTTACCTGAGTAAAGCTCTTTGCTAACGCCACCAGATCACTCACGTTCTCAAGCTGGTGTGTTCCTTCACGCGGTACCACAGCGTATGTACACACACACGCCAGCCGTGAAAACCCAAACTATCAGACCATGGCATGATAAAAATAGAGCTTGCAATAATCCAAATGCCCCAGAGGGCTAAAACATCACAGAGGAATGGACGGGAAACTGGCTGACAGTCCAGGGGTAAGCAGAAAAACTAACTGTCAAGGTGCAGGGTAAGAAACTCCTAATTAGTTTTTTATATATGTCTGTCTGTTTTCAAGTTTCTTGGTATAGTTATTCACACTGAAACCTGAGATTCTCTCCATAGCCCACAAGGATGGGAAAATTTTGAAGCCAAAAGAAACACAATAAAAGACTTGCAGGTGTGGCGGTTTAACCACGTACATGTCTGACTGGAGATTGGGGAAATCCAGCAGATTTGGGCAGCAGGGGACTTCCTGCGAGGTTCAGTCACACACTGTGGAGCTCCAGAATCCCAGCACGGGAAGAACCCTGAGAGGGGAACGTCTCAAAGTATCGCAGTAAGGAGTGGGAAGGGTTAAGATGCAAAGTCTAAAGGACATCCTCACCTAAGGAACACAGTGCTGCACTGCTGAAGCATTAGACATCGTGGCAGCAAACATATTGCTTCTGACCTAGGCCACTCAGGCATCTCAGTTCTGTGGCAGCGAGATGAAGCCAGAGACCTTCTCCAGGTTCAGGAGTAACGAAGTGGTTTGTTGATGGACAGCACGCTACAAATGCAGCGACAGGTACATCTGCACAGGCAACGCGGGATGAAAAAAGGCAGCTGAGTGTCTTACCTCTGACCATAGTAGCTCTCAAAAAAATGTTCCTTCCACAGCTCGACCTTCTTTTCCTTTTCTATTTCCTGACGTATTCTGAGCTGCATTTCTGGTGTAAACTCCCCTGCAAAATGCAATAAAGGGTAGCTTCAAAAAAAGCTAAGGATAAAATGAATCTGGATAGCCACAGGAGCCTTCGCGCTTTTCTGTCATTTTTCATGCAGTCAAGCTATCCAGGCACGATCTACCTTTGATAAAACTGTGCTGTTTCCATCACCTCTTCCTCCATGTGCCCAGAGATGTGCTCCAGCAGGGAGCTGCTCTGCCTGCTGCGCCATCACGCTTTGACACTTGAGCAGAGACACAGTGCTCACCAAGAACGCCAGCAGAGATCCCCAGACTTCTCCCGATCGCTGCAAGCTTTACCACGGAAGCAGCTTTGACAGCAGTTCTACTCTGTGTCTAACCATAGCTGCACCCTCTAGATGTTAAGACAGGAACGGACAAAAAGCCTTCTAAGCAGCACTGAAGGGAAAACTAAACGATGGGGCCAAAACCAGCGGAGGTTTTAACAATTAGAGTAGGCAGCCAAGTTCTATGTCTTGGCCGCTTACTGGCAAAGATACCCCCAGAAACACACAGAAAGGGTTATTCAGGCAGAACTGGATAAATTTTCCATGGAAAAGCCTCCTGGAGTCAACCATCTGGGCATGAGTACATGGTATTCCCTTCTTCTTAAAGGGAGTCACGGCTGGGGCTATAGTCTCTATAAAACCCCTGGGGACAGGCTGCACAGACCATTGTCCCTGCCCACAGCGAGTGGGTGCGCTCTGATGATGTGGTTTGATCAAATCATGGAATCAAGCACCTCGAAGTTCAAGATGCAAATGGCTGTTGAAGGTGCAGGAGTCCTGTAGATTAGTAAATGTCTGACTTTATATCAAAAATTACGCTCAAAGGACTGACCATACCACCTGTGGCCAGACAACTTCCCTGATGCCAAAGTGCAATACTCTGGGAATGTAATTTACCTTCTCTACTGAGCGTAGCAGTGGGCTATACTGAGCTACCACAGCTTGAGAATAACACAGCTCTACAGTCGTTTCAACAAGATTTTAAACACATTGTCCCTTCTTTTCTCATTTCTCCCAGAGACTTGCTCCTTTTTCCACCTGTTAAGTTCAAAAGAGAACTCCTTACTGCAGGATCTTGAGATTAGATCTATGATCTAATGATCTATGATCTTGAGATTAGATAGCTCCAGGCTCGCATTTCCTCTCCTGGGCTGGACTGACTACAGCTGTCTTTACCTGGGAAGTCACTCCAGCACTTCAACTCCTCCATAAAATACCTTTTACACATTCTGCAAAACATTCACTACCTGAAAGCCTTCTAGGGTTTTACTTTGTTGTCCGGGGAATTTTTACCTTCTGACAACCTCTCCTTCCAGCCTTGGGCAGCTGAAGTGAAGAACTCGTTGTTGAGCGCAGAGCCGCTCAGCTTCATCAAACCATCCGCCCCAACCTGGAAGACACGACAAAGCGAACAGCGTTAACCAGCTGGAAAGACAAGTGTCACATGTTGTCACATGGGATCTGAAAACAGAGCAAGAGTCCCAACGTTGTCTCAGATTTCTCCGGAATCTGCTTTTAACTCTCTCAGAATAAATAAACAGCCTTCTTATGGCTGTGCTTAGCCAAGCCTGGGATCTAGGAGGCTGTGGTAAGTTTTCCTCATCCTTGCTTCAGCCCAATCCTCTGGAGTCCTGCTGCTGCACAAAGGTACATGAGCAGCAGAGGGGACAGGTGGCACAGAGAGGCACAAGGATACAGAACAGCCTCTGAACAGCTTCTTCAGGTATCTTGCGTTCATTTCACAGGGCAAAAGGCATCGCCTGAACTAACATCCAACGCTCTGGTGTCCTCTGGTGAACATAAAAAGTGCCTGAAGGAAAAGCAAGGACATAAAAGGTATTGTGTAAAAGTAACTTTGGAATGTGTATAACCATAACCATGGGTGCTTCAGGGAAAACAGGGACAAATGAAGCTCAAACCCCACTCCGTCTTTGGAATGTGGTTGACCAACATGGCAGCCGTGCTAGAGAGCAGGACATAAACAAAAGAGCACGAGGCTAAGCCTGGAACCTAGCATAGTGGGAAATCATAACCGGGATAATAAAATATGAGGTTTGCTTTTGCTCTTTATCCCACAGAAGCAGACGTGGAATTTCTCTACCAGAAATACAAAAATACACGTATCATTCCGTAAGCCACAAAAACTTGCAGTGGGCAAAACTGACATGCTTCCATTTCTTGCATAAATAATAGATCAGAACAAACAAGAAGAATCCAAGTGTCCAAATGTAGGATTATCTGATTATACCAGGAGATGTGTGCAGCAAACATTTGATGGTGCAGGATTTGATAGAGGAACACTCCATCTGTGATGCAACCAGTTAAGATGATGGAGGTGACCTCATAGAAGGCTTCTTAGGTAAGGTTTCATTAGAGATTTTTAAGTTTTGAGCTAGGAGCAGCCATTGTAAGGATTTACAAAAGCAGAGATTTATTTTCTAGTCCAGATCTCTACAGATCAGCTACAGAATTCACAAGACTATCCTCTACTCCACATACGGTGCTGCCCGTTCCGTGTGTTGGAGGACAGACCATTGCCGCGGGGCTGAGTGGGTCTGAGCACCAGCTGGAACAGCTCAGACTGAGCCACCGCCAAGGAAACAACAGAGATCTGACCTTTCAGAAGTGCTGTGTCCAACGCCTTCACCTCCTCTCCTGCTCACTACAGCAAAGCCTGGCAGTTTTTACAACACGCATCACCACTGGCTGCGGTGGCCTGCTCTAGGAGATTTACTGCAGTGAAATGTAAAATTTGTCCTCTCTGGAGCCAAGCGATATTATTTAGTTAGTCAAAATTCATTCTCAGTCAAATTCTAATTCAATTCAAGGTTGACCAAACTTAAAGGTCAAGACAGAAATGTCTTGCCATCTACTGTGAGGTTCTTGGCAGTGAACTCCAGCTGCAAACTCCGTCACATTGTATTTGGACACATACCTAATTATTACAAAGGCCATAAGACTTATAAAACAATTCCTTCAAATATTTATTGGATCAGCCTTGGACTAACAAGTCCCCGATGAATGCTGATCGAAGATTAGAATTTATGAGACAACATGAAATGTTAGAACCCTTCCTAACTCCAAACGAACACTATCTGTTGAGCAAAGCAGACCACAGCACAGCTGCCAGAGCCCCACGCATCACTAACAGTCGGTGAGAACCCAAAGAGCAGCACAGCTCTGCAGATGGATGCGACTTCCCTAACCATGGATGGCTGTGCTGTAAGAGTCTATGTCTGAGCTGGCGTCCCTGCGCGGTTTACAGCGACGGACTCAGCCCATCTCCCCCTGAAGCAGACACCTGTGTTTGGTCACAGGCTTTGGACTGTGACAGCTGCATTGCCACTTTCCACACAAGGAGCCCAGAGTACCTAGCTGAGACGCAGACTCCTGGGAGGTGACTGCGGTGTGTAAACAGGCACCTAGTACTCAGCTGAACACCACACAGAAAAGCATCTTCACGGGACGTGCAGACCTGAGACAGGACGCACAGAAGACTGTCATCTGGAGTGGCATCTTGGAGCCAGCTTCAGTGTCTAAAGAACATTCAGAATGGCTCCAGGCACACACGTGAAGGCATCTGAATTCACACCCCTACACGTGAAGTGGAAGCACAGCGCAGAATCCCGCTTTGCTCTGGAGCTCCCAGCCAGCTGGGGTAGGAATGCTGAAGACAAACGTAACATATGAATAAGGAAAAAGGAAAGCAGCATCCTTGTTCTCTACAACTTTTCTGGTATTGAGCATAAATAGATTGAAGTTCACTTCCTCAACTCATCGCTTTTTCCTCCTTTTACATGCAAGTGCTACATTTGTTCTTGTCTTGTCTTTTAATATCATCCCTGCCTTCCACAAGCTGCTTAAGAAAACAGCTATAACATTGAGAACACTTCAGGCAGTTCTTTTCTGTACCCCTTCAGATGAAATTCATCAGATCCAGCTGAGCTGAAATAACTGCCTCATCAAAACATTCTCTTAGCTGTTCTTTCAGTACTGAAGGCTCTTACCCCCTTGTCACTCGTGTTAATTGTTCCTGTTATCACCAACTGATCAATTAAAACCTTCACTGCTTCTCCTGTGCCACTCCCAGAGCAGCTGAACCCACTGCTCCCCAACGAGGACTGTTTTGCTTTCCCAAATTCCTCTCTTCACACACAAAGAGATCTTAGACAGTCCACAAAAATAAACTCTCTTCAGGGCTGACTCACACCGCATGCTTGGAACCTTTAATCTCGTGTGTGTTTTGGGTCAGGACACAAGCTCTCTGGAGCTGGCAATCTGGCCAGTGCAATGGAAAACTCATTCAGTTTCCACTTTATCAAATCCAGAATTTGACAGCAGTGGCACAAGGTCATGACAACCAGAAGAGGCTGGAACTAAATGCAGCATCTGTCCAGGTGTTCTGTGGGAGGGCATGACTCTAGAAGGCTGCAGTTACATCCTGTACTGAAGAGCCTGGGAGAGGACAGGAGATGCTGAAGCTGCTGCGTTCCCATCCCTCCTGGCCCTCTTCTAGTCCAGCGTAACAGAAACATGGCTCTCGCTGCAGCTGGGAAGGTGGAGTTGTTTAAACAGAATTAAGCCACTGGGCTATCAAACCTGAATTCTTTTTTTCTCACAGCAACAAATACCCAAATGAATCACTGAAGGATTTTCCAATTTTTTTCACAGTGTGCACAGAATAACAAGTCTATCCATTAGACATTACCACAGTATTTGGATGTCTAGTCTGGATTACTTCTGGAGATGCTCCCTACCGACACCTCTGAGCCTAGCTTCTCCCCACAACAGAAACCACGACATACCTGCCTGTCCACCTCCGGCAGCAGCAGCAGCAGGCGCTGCTGGCATTCTGTAGGCAGGACAGAGAATGTATGCTTGTTGATCAGCGCCCGCAGGTTCGTGTTCACGAGGATGGAGTCAGGAGTTTCCACATCAATTTCAGCACACTTTGTTCTCTTCAGCTGCCCTGCAACGAACCACAAAGACATAAGTAATATCTTACCTAAAAGAGGATTAAAGGATCCTTTGGACTTCACTGTACCTCAGATTTTCAAAATGCCACCTTAGCAATCCATTTCAAACCTTGACTTGAAATATACCTTCTAGCTTTGCACATACAGTTAAAAACAAAATGTGGGAGGTCCCTTCCAGCACGGAAAATTCCCATACCTAATACACCGTAGCCTGCGTCGGTTCACCTAGCTTTTGTAGGAATCCTGGCTATCTGGGGACTAGCAAGGAGTCTTTGTCAGGAGGGTTTCTAGAACTGCTTTTAGCCACGTCAATTTTCTAATTTAAGCCTCTAGTTAAGGTCAGTTTGTTCCCTGGGATTTCTTCATGGCCTTTCCCACTTTGTTCTCAGCAAAAGCATTTCAGAAGAATTCATCAGGCCATTGTGCCTGTGTAGAAGCCACAACATGAGATGAAGCAGGAAAAATTAGAAACTATTCTCTCTTTTTAGCATTTGAAAGCCAGCAAGTCCAGCATTAAGCCTTGTGCTGCAGTCAGCTTCACATATGTGCTGCAAATTCAGAGAAGAATAACGAAGAAAGCATTTGTACTGTGTGCTCTGTTTCCTTTGCATTCATCCACTGTCCATTACTGGCAAAATACCAGGGGTTTTGGAGCTCAGACTAACGGGGCATTATTAGAAAAATGGGTAACGTTAAGACAGACCCTGCTACCCCTGACTTCAGGGCTGACAGCAATTATTTTTCAGGTAACAGCACTGAACAAATAAATGCCACAGAGGCTTGTTTCATTAGGGGAAGTTCGTTCTATTAGAAGTCGTTCAGACAATAGCTCTGCAGGTTTATAATCGACTGAAGTTGCAGAATTTCCTAATTACAGGGGAGAAATGAAACATGCCCTGAAAAGTGGCTATTTTCACCAGCGATAAAGAAAATCTAGGATGATTAGCACAGACAGAGACCTCAGAATATCCTTAAGCTCATCAAGGTCAATTCCACACTGGTACGTATGAAAGAAACCACAAAAGGTCACAAGGGCTGAGAAAAACCTAACTTCAATGAATGGGAAGGATGCCAAACAACAGTGGGGTCTGAAGTATAAAGATCTGGGAAGGAATTTCTTTTTTGTTTTTAATGTTATCAAGTGTCTTAAGTACATTAAAAAGTCTTCTAAATAATGCAACTCCTTGCTGCAAAATCTGAGGTAGAAACCCCTGCTGATAAGAAATGAGAAAAGGCTTATTTGCACATGTAAGGTTTGAATTATTTATCCTAATTCACACAGCACATGAGCAGTACCTTCCAGAGTTGTCCAAGAGTCACTTTAGCAATAGAATTAATTACACATTTTACTCAATTTTGCTATTTAGGCTTTTGTTCTGTCATCCAAGCAACCAGATCTCTGTAAGCAGAAAAATAAATATCTTACTTGCATGGAGCCTGTCAGATCTCTGGAATGGTTTCTTCCCCAGTCCTGGCAAGGAGTTATCAAGCTTAACAGAGGGAGAGGAGCTGGAGGTGGAGTTCTGAGGGCTGCCTGACCGTCCATCTGACTGCTTTCCTTCCCAAGCTGCACAGGAAATTGAAACATTTAAACACAGGGATGTACAAAGACCTGAGACACCTGTTTGGTCTGAAATAAAGATTCTTTAACGTGCACACTGTAAGCCCAGCATCTCTGGGATGAGCACTTCTATGATCCTTATATTCATTTATTCTTGCAGCACTTACTTCGCAACAGGCTGAAAGCAGAAGACCCCTTTGTAGCTTTCAGAACATCACAAAATAAAGCGATAGCCAGCCAGTTCAGTTATGGTTTGAGCCTATTTCCCAGTCAGTCCATCTTATTTCCCATCCACATCCAATCCAGTAAAGATCTTGCTAAAACTTCCTTTCAGAGCCAGCTTTGGTTTCTGTTAGAGTACACTGTCAGGAAAAATCTCTTCATACTTTTGGTGTACTTTCTAGATTTTAACCTACTACGGTAGCTTTTGTTCTTTCAGACCACCCTTGGTAATTCCTCCTCCTCTTTCAAATACTCAGGAGATATTTTCATGTCTTCCTCCGAAGTCACTACTTAGCCAAACCAGACAGATTTCACCACTGTGATTTCTCCTCACAAATCACTGCCACCCACGTTCTCTTCTGTACAGCAGTATTTTTTCTGCTGGTGGGAAAAGCTTCTTTGCTTTCCTTTCCCTCCTCTACCGAAGTGAGATGAATTAAGAACACGAGCTGGTCTTTGCTCAGCTCTCTTTAGGTTTGTGTGTAATAACGGGTACTCACTCAAGGTACTGAAGTCCCATACCTTGAAAGAGAAACTCCACAACACACATGATTAAATCACAAACTAAACGAATGCTGGCTCTGATTAATGACTCGCTCTAATCAATCTTCACCCAGTCTGTGCCAGCTTTGTTCCCCATCTGCCTCCTTCCTTTCCTCTTCCTTCCACTAGCTGTTCCAGTTCTGACTGAGTACATCCCTGAAATTGTGGAACCAGCATGTTGCTGTCTACCTGAATATTTTTCTCTCTCCACGTGTACCTTTAATTTACTTCTCCATCTCAATACATCCCACTGTCCCGGCACTGTGAGCTATTTCTGTGTACTATCGTGTGGATAGGAGGGGAAAAAAAGGACTCCATGGATGCTGATGAAAAACACACAAAAGTTACTCATATTGCAGTACCATTTGAAGGCTTTTACAGTAATCAATATTCAGTCTAATGAGAGGCTGCACAAACACACACTGTTCTACCCTACATCAGCTGAATAAGGTTAGAGCAAAAGCTGAGGAATGCGGCTTTCCTGAGACCATGTGTAAAATTTGTTTGATCCTTCATTCTGTCCCTCACAATGTTTAAGGAAGGAAAGCTCCCATGGCTGGATGCTGGCATGGATAGACACAAACTCTTCAGGAAAGATGGGCAAGGAAGAAGGTTGTCTCTACCCATGCAATCGTGTGGGACAACATTGAATCCAAGGGTCCTGGCAGAGCCCACTGGTGTCCTTACAAGGCCTCTCTCTACCGTCTTAGAAAAGAAGATCGTGGGAGATTCCTCACAACTAAGCAAGGCAAATGTTACACCCACCTTCAAAAAAGGCTGAACAGACAACCCGACAAAATACAGGCTGCTCAGCCTCACTTTTCTTCCTGGGAAAATAATGGACTGACCCCTCTTGGAGCATATTTCTGGTCACACGAAGGAGATAATGATGAGTGGAAGCAGTCAGCATGGACTCACCATGGGTAAATCACACCTGACCAGCCTGATTGCCTTCTGTGAGCAAATTACTGCGTTTGGAGACAGGAGAAGAGGGGTGGATGCCATTTACCTTGGCTTTAGCAAGGCATTTGACATTGTGTCCCACAAGACTGTCTGCGAGCTGGGCCATGAGGATCTGGACAGGTGGACAACCGGATGGGTAAGCAGCAGGTGAGGGGGCCAGGCTTGGAGAGACACACTCCGCACCCTGCCTGGTTAGCGTTTTGATTTGGGGGAGGTAATGGAGCACTGGCTGAAGCTTGGAGGCAACACCAAATCTGCAAGGACCACTCACTCTGCTGGAGGGCAGAGCTGCCACCAGCAGGACCCCGCCCCTGGTAAGGCAGAGCCCCTGGCAGTGACACGGGGTGGGGCAGCTCTGCTGGAGGGGACACGGGGGTCTGGGCAGACACAAGCTGAACCTGTGCCCTGGCACCAAAGGCCAACAGCATCCTGGGATGTAGGACCACCGCGAAGGGACCACAGGAAGTGATTATCCCCATGGGCTAAACACTCATTGGACCACACCTCAATTCTGTGTCCTGTTCTGGCACCTCCAATACAAGGAAGAGATACAAACCAGGACTAACTCCTTTAGTCTATTTTAATAATTACTCTATGTTAGCTAACAATCTTACAAAATATCCTACCTGTGTCAGTCCCTCTTAGGTCTCCCCTGTTCCTACTTTCCTAAGTGAAGATGCAATTCCTCCTGGGGCAGGGAGCTCAGGAGATGGGGTCCTCCAGGAACGATATCTGCCTGTTGTGCTAATGAACCCTTCAGGTTTAATCCTAGTTAGCAGAGAAATTGCAAACTGCTTTTAAACTATCATTTTATGATAAAGATTTCATACACCTGGCACTCCATTTTCTTAATACCATCGTGGAAGAGGTGTCATTTTCTACTGGATTAATTTTGGCTTCCTTCTCAGACCACAACCACCTCAGTGTAAGGGGCACAAGCACAGCTTAGGACAGAATTTCAAACAAGCATGATGATATTAACCTTCTTCCCCCTTAACCTTTTGGAAAGGGTCTGAACTACAAAGCTGCCTGGGAACAACCGGCAAGCTCATCAGCTGTTAAACACTTCCTCTGCCATTAAATGACGCATGAAGTACAGCTGATACATACGCCTGCTCCTTTCAATTGCGTATATGGTACATAGCTGCAACCTTGCATATGTCTGAACAGATGTTGCACGAAACATTCCAGCAGTATACAACCGGCAAGCCAGGACAGATTGGTCTAGTTTTGGTTGGGATTTGTTTAGAGCTGTTTGGAAAGGGAGAATAAACAAACACACTAAAACACAGAAAGAATTTTATACTGCAGAAAATCAGCATGAGATGAGGAAACATCTCCAATTATGTAAAAGGTGACAGGGAGAAGAAATCAAATAACCTGCCCTCTGTGGCCACGGTGGATAGGACAGGAAATGTGGGGTTTAAACCCAAGGAAGCAAAAAAAGAGTCTGATTAGAGGCCAAGAAAAACATTTTAAGGATAAAGTTAGCAAAGCAGGAAGGGCAAGATTTGCTGGGAGTTTTCGGTATTTGCATGATGGCATCTCTCAGAACAGACTGAAGAAAACATCTGTCAGGAGTGCACCATGGCTCCTGCCCTGAGGACAGGATGGGGACCAGATGAGCTCTCAAGGGCACTTCTGGGCCTAGTTTCTGATGGCTCTGGGAAATTTCTTAACCTGACCACTGAATCTCAGCTAAACACTCATGTAATTACACCAAGAATATCCAAGAGCAAAATGTTTTTCATGCTACTGTTGTCTCACTGCTGCTGTATAATCCTCTCTGGCTACTTCTATACCAGTAAACAGAGCGGTGACAT